CAGAGAGTAAAGGTCTGACTCAATACATAGAGATGGTAATGGAAATATCTTATCAACTTCAATGGGTATTTGTTTAGACAACAGGGGTGAAGTTATGCAAAGCTTTGAAGGTTAGATTGAATTTGATGCAGAAGGAGAGGGGAAAGCCAGTAGAGGAATTTTGAAGGAAAGAAAGTGTACTAAGAACAGCAGGAGAGAAACAGAGAGTAAAGGTCTGACTCAATACATAGAGATGGTAATGGAAATATCTTATCAACTTCAATGGGTATTTGTTTAGACAACAGGGGTGAAGTTATGCAAAGCTTTGAAGGTTAGATTGAATTTGATGCAGAAGGAGAGGGGAAAGCCAGTAGAGGAATTTTGAAGGAAAGAAAGTGTACTAAGAACAGCAGGAGAGAAAAATTACCTTAGCAATGTTGTTTTGGGTGCCCCAAAGGAAGAAAGGAAATATAGAGGGGGGGCTAGCTGTGAGCATGCTACACTTCTTAAGAGATGAGATGGCCAAGGCATGGAGAGGGTTTTAGTTATAGGAATGGAAAAATGAAGAGATTTTTAGAGGGGCGATGAAGAAGAAAACAACAAAATTTAGCAAGAGTATGGATATGAAGGCTGAAGGAAAGCTGGGAGAGTAGGGGTTGATTAGTATAGATAAGGAATGAGAGCATGTCTTCAGCTTACAGCTACTCATAGGCTGCATCTAGACTGGCAAGTTTTTCCTCAAAAGGGGTTGCTTTTGCTCAAAAACTTGCCAGCTGTCTACACTGGCCGCTTGATTTTGCGCAAAAGCACTGATGTTCTACTGTCCAAAATCAGTGCTTCTTGCGCAAATGCTTTGACGTTCCCGTTCTGGCAAAAGCCCTTTTCCGGAAATGTTTTTGCGCAAGAGGGCCAGTGTAGACAGCTAAAAACTGTTTTGCGCAAAAAAGCCCCAATGGTGAAAATGGCGATCGGGGCTTTCTTGTGCAAAACTGCGTCTAGATTGGCACGGATGCTTTTCCGCAAAAAAGTCCGTGCCAATCTAGACGCTCTTTTCCGCAAATGCTTTTAACGGAAAAACTTTTCCATTAAAAGCATTTGCGGAAAATCATGCCAGTCTAGGCGTAGCCATAGAGGATAGGTGAAGTTGGTTTTGATTTGGCTTCAAATTTCTCTTCTCCGTGTCTTTAAAGGTACCAAAGGTTCACCTGGTGTTGAAGGTTTCAAAGGTATGTTGGGCCTGAAAGGAAAACCAGGATTGAAAGGACTCAAAGGCGAAATTGGCTCTTTTGGCAGTCTGGGAATTAAAGGTCTACAAGGGGAACCCGGCCATAAAGGTATTTACACCTACATTTTCTAACATTACTGAATGCTTGCTTCCTATATGCATGAGAGAGAATTCTGTCAGGATGCAAATTCAAAAACAATGCGTTTTTTGATACAGTGATTTTAACTCAGGAACTCTTATTATTACGACAGAGTGGGTCTTAGAAAGCTCTAGCCTTATTTTCTTCATTGAAATAAATCCATGACTTCTTACCCAATGAATGAGTGGCAGTTAACATAGTTCCATTCTCCCTATTGAAGTTAGCTAAGTGTCCTTGTGGTTATTGTAAAGTATAAACACTGGATTTTTTCAAAGGTTCAAATCTTTACCCTGAAATAAAGACCTTTTAAAAGTCTACTGACTACTTGTTTGTCTGGTTCTGAAAAGCAGTGCTTAATATCAATACTTCCTGAGAAGCAGTGCATCCCAGTGCATGTCTGTTATAAATGCCCTTCATGTTAGGTGCTATTGTTTCTTACATAAACCCATTATGAATTTATGGCCTGCAATATCAGGATTAGCAAGGAGGAGGTTCAAGATGTTTTTAAGATACAGTTGTGTTAAATTGGTTATGCTGCCTTTTTTAGTGTTGCCCATTGATCCCTGATTGTGGAGGGTTTGGGTAAAATAGAATCTATCTGCTAAATATTCTTGTAGAAATAATAGGGGGAGGATTGCTGCTGTAGTGAGTAGAACAGGGGTGACCAACATGCAGCTCTTTGCTCAAAGAAATGCAGCTCTTGCTAATTCTGAGCCACATGCCCGGACTGCTCATGGCCTCTCTGCACATGCACCCCAGCGCCTGGAGGGAGAAGCATATGGCAGCAGTGGCTCCATTGAGACCCAGGCAATAGGTTATAGAGTGGGGGAGGGAGTTGGAGTACTGGGCTAGAATGGGGAGTGTTGGGGGTGCCTGGCTCTGGGGAGGGCATTGGGTTAGAGCGGGGGAGCTGGGAGTGCTTGGCTCTATGGGAAGGGGAGGGCATTGAGTTAGAGCTAGGGTTACCAGGTAGTCTCAAAAACAGCAGTGGCTCCATTGAGACCCAGGCAATAGGTTATAGAGTGGGGGAGGGAGTTGGAGTACTGGGCTAGAATGGGGAGTGTTGGGGGTGCCTGGCTCTGGGGAGGGCATTGGGTTAGAGCGGGGGAGCTGGGAGTGCTTGGCTCTATGGGAAGGGGAGGGCATTGAGTTAGAGCTAGGGTTACCAGGTAGTCTCAAAAAAAAATCAGACGCACTGGCAGAGCAGGGCTCTCCAGGCAAGTGCAGATTCCAGAGCGCTTCCCCTTCCCGCGCATGGTCCCGGCAAAGTGAGACCAGCTGAAGCTGTACCACACACTTGACCAGTGCTCAGGAGCAGGGACAGGGCTTCCTCTCCTCCTCAGATGCAACCAGAAGCTCCCAGCACCGATTGCGCCCCGCCTCCCAGCCACTCCCCCTGTCCTCACCAGGCTTCTGTCCAGCGTCCCTCTGGAAAACCAGAAAATACTGGACATTACAAATGTCCAGTATTTTCTTCCTTTTTTTTACCAGACAGAGGGCCCAAAAACTGGACTGTCCGGTAGAATACCAGGCACCTGGCAACCCTAGTTAGAGCGGAGAGGCTGGGGTGCCTGGCTCTGGGAAAGAGGAGGGAGTTTGGGTTAGTGTGGGGGGCTGAGGGTGCCTGGCTCTGGGGGAGCAGAGAGGTTTGGTTAGAGCAGGGGGTTGGAGGTGCCTGGCTCTGCAGGAGGGGTGGGGCATTGGATTAGAGTGGGGGGAGGGAGCTGAAGCACCTTAAACTCGAAATCTTCTGCAGAATAAGGCAGCCAACACAGATGTCATTTAAATTGCAGGGCAAAAAAAAATCAGCATGTACCTGGTTTATACTGTGTTTCTTTAAAGAACATTCAAAAGCTATTTTTTGCCAGGCTGAAGCAATTATTCTGAGATATGAATCTCTCCCTTATTGTTTTTGAGCCTCTCATACTTGTAGTCTGAGACAGACCTGACTTTTTAGAACTATAAAAAAAACTATAATCTTCATGAGTTAAAAAAGAAGAGGAAACCATATCAGAAATCAACAAGCTGGAGTGAAACAGGCACTTTAAATTGTGCTAATTTACTTCTCAGTTCAGTTTCATTTTAAAAAACTCACAGAACATAATAGGGCAGTAGTGTTGAATTTAAAATATGACAGGAGTGCTTTTATAAGTGTGAGAATATTACTGTATTTTAAAAGTTTTTTTTTTTATTTTGATGTTTTTTCGTAGTCAAGTTCTCTGAAGATCTATAAACTGACCATGAATTTTTTAAGTGACTAGAGACTTTTTTATTGGTTTTTGTCCAAAGTGTCCTATAATTTACTTTTATCACTACATTTTGTGTACTATATCTGTTGATCAATCGATCGATACATAGAGTTATATCAAAATAAATATATAATATATGGCTCTTTGCACTCTATCCACGACTATTTTGGCTCTTCGTCTCTAACTGGTTGGCCACCCCTGGAGTAGAAGAACCAATGGGTTGGCCATAAGGTCTTAAGCACTATAGGGACAAGATGTGCAATTTGAGCTAAGCAATTTGAATTTCATTAATAACATTGCTTGAGTTGACATAGCTTAGATTTTTGTATCACTGGCTCTACACCACACTGGGTCAATAGGAGAATCTCTTCTGTTGACTTCCCTTAGGGTATGTCTACACAGCAAAGTTATTTCAAAATAACTTTACTAGCGTCTACACAGCCAAACTGCTATTTCAAAATTAATTTGAAATAGCGGAGCGCTTATTTCGAATTTGGTAAACCTCATTCCATGAGGAATAACGCCAAATTCAAAATAGCTATTTCGAAATAAGTGCTATGTGGACACACTTATCGAAATAGGGGGTCTCCAGCCTTCCCAGGGTGCCCTGGTGGCTACTCCAGCCTCAACCAAGAACACTCCTCCCCTTCCCCGGAGCTCTTAAAGGGGTTGACTCTATCCACAGTGGCCGTGCAAGCTCCAACTCTTTGGCTTTGTCTACACTGTAGGGTTTTTGTGCAAAAAGCCTTTTGCAGAAGAGATCTCCCATAAAAGCTTTGTGCGCAAAAGTGCGTCCAGAACTCAACGTGAATCACAAAAGCGATGTGCTTTTGCACAAGAGCGTGTCCACACTGCATGGACACTCTTGCACAAGAAAGCTCTGATGGCCATTCGCAGAATGGCCATCAGAGCACCTGTGCTTTTTCCCATAGGGGTTTCTTGTGCAAAAACCCCTCTGGAGCATCCACACCTGCCTTTTTGCACAGGAGCTCTAGCTCAAAAAAGTTATTCCTCATGGGGAGAGGAATAACTCTACCAGCAAAAGCCCTCTGTTCTATCAATTTACGGCCATTTTTGCACAAAAACCTTGTAGTGTAGACAGAGCCTTTTAGGGGCAGGGCAGATGTAATGTAATATTTAATCAATCCTGATTTCTGTGGTTTGAGACCCTAAATTTGGTTTAACTGAAACAAAAAAAAACTCCAAGCCCTACAACGTAGGTGAACCAATACTTGGGAAGCTGCCAAAGTAGTATGAAAGGTGTTTTGACTGATTGGTGCCTGTTCAGTCTAAGTAGCATAACTAATGATGCTGATAGACTCCGCATCTATTGCATTTGTAGAAATGAGAACTTTCTTTCTTTTTTTCTTTCAATAAACACCAAGGGTTTGATGTAATTTCAACAGGAATGTTGCACAAATGGAGTATTCATAAGTTAGAAGTAAAAGTTGAATGACTAACATAGCTCTGTCCTTTCTTATTTGTACATCACAGGAGTCTTTAATTTCATACATTATCTGAGGCCAAATTTTTCAAACCTTTTTGCCTAAAGTTAAGCTCCAAAATAAAAATGACCAGGTATTCAAAGGGGGTCAGCACTGCTAGCTCCCATTAATTATAGTGTAGTTTGTGAATGCTCACAAATCCGTTCTTACTTATACTGACTTTGGGCAACCAGGTTTGAAAATTTTGGAAGAAAAAGATTCTCATGTTATCCAAGAAATAGTTTATGTTCACATAGTGCAACTGCAATAGAATGAATGTGCAGAAGGGGGCAGAGTTAACCTTGTACATTCAACTTAAAGTTTGTCATATCGTCAAGTGTTTGTGTGCTACCTTCATGCTACATTAGGGTATTTTTATTTAATATTATAACCGTGTTCTTAGCTGCTGAAGTTTCCATGCTGGTTGTGATCTGATTATTGAGATGTTTACCTCAATATATTTCCCTGCATTTTTAAGACAGAGTAGTTAAGTGGGTTTTATTATATTTAGGTGACCGTGGGGAATCGGGTCCATCAGGAAAACCACCAGATATTTTTCAACACATGTATATGGCTAAAGGTGAGAAAGGAGATATAGGACAAGCTGGCTCAAAAGGCGAGATAGGCTTTAAAGGTAAGAACAGCAAAACAATCATTTAATATTCATGATTGCTTACCAGTTACTAAGTATTGTCCTGATGGTCAGAAGCTTTTTGATTATTCTCTCCATATCCTTAATACGTCACACTCACTGTTGTATTACAGCATAACTCCACTGAGCTGGCAATGAAAACTGAGGGCTTGGTTCTCACTGTGACTCCATTGCTCCAATGGCACTTCCAGTCTAGGGAGAGGAAGTGAGCAGCAAGCTAGCATGCTATGTATTTATCCTCTGGCTTGCTACACATTAACTTGCCCTGAGTGAGCCAAATATCAGACTCGCCAATTTAAATGGGACAAAGCAAACTTACCTCTTAAAATCTGTTCTGTGCTATCTTTTCCATTGTTGCCATTATTTTACCTTGTGTCTTCAAAGGGATTTTATATTTTCCTTTTTATAGGTTAATCTGGTAAGAAACAACTAATATACCTCTGGCCTTAAAATGTGCTGCCTCTTTATGCAATCCCAGTGTTGTCTGGCTCTTTATCTCTTTGTCTAAATACATACTGCTGACCTGAAAGTGTTAAGTTTTTACGTGGGTAGACCTACCTCTCACAGGAACATCCCCTGATCTTACATGTCATACTGGCCTTTTTATAGGTTAATCTGGTAAGAAACAACTAATATACCTCTGGCCTTAAAATGTGCTGCCTCTTTATGCAATCCCAGTGTTGTCTGGCTCTTTATCTCTTTGTCTAAATACATACTGCTGACCTGAAAGTGTTAAGTTTTTACGTGGGTAGACCTACCTCTCACAGGAACATCCCCTGATCTTACATGTCATACTGGTTTTTGGATCAGCTAGTCAGATTGAAGGCAAGAAAGGAGACGTTGGTCTTAAAGGAGTGACAGGTGTTCAGGGGTATCCAGGTACAACTGGACCCCGTGGCATATCAGGTTTCCCTGGAGCCACTGGAATCAGGGTAAGTGAGTATCCATGGGGATATTTTTTTCAAATAAAAGGCCATCATTAAACTTGTCTCATCTTGCTTTTATGCCCATTAAAATTGTGTTGGAATACTAAAATACAAAGATACCAGAAATCCATAGAAACTGAATGAGTTACTTGTCTTCTTTGTAAAACACATTGTGCCATCCCACTGTACCCTAGGCAGAGTCCGTAGAAGAGCAATATGATTTTCTCTTTCTCCTCTTCTCCACATGCCCCCACAGTCCAGCCATCAGCTTTTCATTGGTGTGGGACCAAATTCTCCAAGTATGCTACTGAATCTGCTAGGGAGAGTTCTTGGTGGAGCTGATTTTGTCACCACCAAAAAAACCCACTTTGCTGTTCCATTTCATGAGCAAGAGGCCAGGTCAGAGAATCAGATCAGTCACTCTCTCCAAACTACATTGATCAGCATTAAGAGCTTGTACCCAGTAAGGGTTATGTTGATATTGAGTGCCAGTATGAACAGCGCTGTGTCAGTGGGAGGTGTTTTCCTCATGCACACACGCTATGCCGATGGTAGAGCAGTCTCACAACAGCACAGAGTGTCTGCTCTAGCATCGCTGTAGTGGTGCAGTTACATCTGTGCGGGTGTGCTCCTGTAGCGATTCTAGTGTAGACTGGCCCTAACTTTCATTGACCACCTTTTTCAGTGCATAGTTAGTCAACAAAATATTCACACTCTGGAAAAGTTCAACTCCACTTACAAATGGTATAACAAGAAAAATCATCCACTATGCTTAGTTGTACAGGGCAAAATCCTATGGTCCCTTTGTAAGTAAACGCCTCATTAGACTTCAGTGGCAGTTTTGACTGAGTGAGAACAGCATGATTTTGCCCAAAGAAATTTAATTATACCCCACAATTTATGTTCCCATTGTTAAGGGTAATAGTGCTTGCAAATGCAGCTTATCACTATTATTGCCATTGTTTGGCTACATCTGCCAAAGAAACTCAAAAGTGTAAATATTTTAGCATTTTTAATGTCTCAGTAGCAATACTATTTTAATGACTGAGTAAACGTTCATTCTAATTCACTACTGCCTATTTTTTCCTATATGATAGGGTGAAAAGGGTATTGAAGGAACCAGAGGTGATGTTGGTACATATGGCCTTCCTGGGCAAACTGGTGAGTCTGCTTCTAGCTCATCCTTTGTACTAATCTCTTACATAAACCCTCATCTGCACAGTATGAATTCCTTCATATAAGGTCTGGCCCAACCCACTGTGGTCCAGTTAGTCCAATGCCAGTTATGCATTGGATTAAGCCCATATAGTCTTGTTTTGTTTCCTCCTTCAGAGATGCCATGACTATTTTTGCATATCTCTTCCTCCTCCTGGTATTTGTTTCATCGTCATTACCATTGTTATTGTGGCACAGCTAAGCTTTAGTACTGAATGTTGCACTTTTCTCTTAAAAGTACAGATTCTTCCAAACACTAATAAACTAAATTTGTGTTCAGAACACCAATACCCAGTCTCATCCTGCATTTATATCTATTTGAAACAGGTGATCGAGGAGATACTATAAACTTACCAGGAAGCAAGGGCCTGAAAGGAGAAGCTGGCATAACTGGATCATTGGGTATTCATTTAATTGACAATCAGTAGCTACTGTTTTCACATGTCTACATGTTACACTCAATGGAGGTTGCTCATAAGGATGCAGAGCTCATTTGAATGAACTCCCCAGCATGCTGAGCAATTTAACAAGTCCCACTGTAGGGGCTCACTGTAGCCCTTTTAGCATCAGACTGTGACTTTCGCAGAATTAATAAATGTCAGGATGAATTTGGAGTACTGAGGAGTAAGGCGTTAAACAGCCCCATAGTACCATTTATGGCAAAATCAGGATTTGGCTTTTCGTCCTAATGCATGCAGAACTCTTACTAAAGTCCATAGACACTATGCCTGGACAAGAGGTGTTGTGTGTCTCCAGTGACTGCAGAATTTGCCTCACAGTCCCCTCATCGCAGTGCTCGGGGATACACATTTGTATTACATTTTCCACACTAAAGTAAAAGTATGCAGTATCACCTCTTTGCTAAGCATGTGAATATGCTGCACTAAAGTGTGAAACAATCAGTATTGCCAAACAGCGTTCAACTAAATTAAAAAATTGCATTCCACTTTCTAATGGCATTTTTGCCATTGACAGTAATAGGATTGTGATTTTGACCCTGATTGTGCAGGGTTGACAATGCTTAACCTATTTTTTTTTTTTTTTTTTTTTTTTGTACTTGCCTAATCTGAGTAAAATGACCTGGCACAAGGGTGGGTGAAGGAGGCTGTGGGGGCAGGGGTTGCACTGAGGAGCATGGGGCGATGCAGGGAATAATGGATCTGAGAGGAGTGAGGCTAGATCATAGGGAAGATGTGAGGGGGAGGATGCAATTTTACTTTGCAGAAGCTGCACTTTCCTTTACTCCCCACTTCTTTGCCTTCTTACCCAGCTATCTCTTTGATTACATTCTCACCCTAACACCTTTTCTGGGTTACTCCCCCACCCCCTTCTGCCCCCAAACTCCCTCTTATACCCCTACCCCACACCCTCTCCTGCCACCAAACTCCCTTCCAGACCCTACCCTCCTCACCGCCTCCTGCACCCCACTCCCAGACAGATCCTGCATCCCTATCTCATTTACTGACATCCCTCTCCCACACATTGAACCCCTCATTTTTATTCCTACACCAGAAGGGGGTCGACAAACTCCCCTCACTCTGGAACCCCAGAAAAGTAAATCTGACCTATGGGAAGCCCTGAATCTCAGTCCTTCCCATCCCTCCTCCTCACCCCGTGGAGCTGAAGCACCAGGAGAGTGAAGTGTCTCAGCTGGGGGCCACATCAGTGAGTGTTGGGGGGGGGGGGGGTTGGGAGTAGTTTTTTTGGTTTCTCATTTGTGTGGTCCCCAGCTGATTTTTCTGTGGGTCAGTGACCCCTGACGCAAAAAAGGCTCTCCACCCCAGCCATAAATAAAGAAAAAATTGAAACTTTTTGTGTTGGACATATTTTACTTAGTTTATCAAACTTCATTTTAAATAAACATGAGAAAGTTAAAACACTTAATCTGTTTCATAATTTAAATTAAACAGTTCTTAGCTGCAGCACTAGCAAAATGGCTTGGGCATAATTAGGTAGTTAACAATGAGTTGCCATTAGCAACTGGTAGTTCGCTGAAAGGTTTGCACTGACCCAGGTGGTCCACAGGGTGCACAGTGGAGAGTGTCCCTCCCCTCCCAAGAGAGCGGCATGGCCCAGGGTAGGAGAGTTAAATCTTGGCCCATCACTTCGGAAAGGTTTCTGACCCCTTGGTTAACTAATACATTTTACAACATGAATCATTTTCCCAGGCTGAGCAAACTCACTTGAGGGTTTGTCTACACTTGAAACACTATAGCAGAGCAGCTATAGCATTGGAACAACCAGTTTTGTTGTGTGCACATAGGCATGTGCAGATGTGCTCCACCAATAGAAGCGCATGCTGGCAGCTCTAGGCCCAGTGGGCACTCTGCCAATCAGCAGGGCAGCAGCTGAATCTCACCTGAGGGGCTGCCCAAGCACTCGGCTGACAGGGAACACTCCTTAGCACCCTCCACCAGCCATGCACCCCTCCAAGACCTTCCATCAGCTGTGCCAATCAACTCCTCCCCAGGGCTGCTGACAGAATTGCTGGACCTCTGGGCAAGGTGGCATGAGGAAGGGAGGCATCTCTGGGCCCCAAGAAGGCAGGACCTTTTGCAGAAGCAGCAGGGCTGAGGGTTAGCCTCTCCAAGCCAGCCTGTTAGTGCTCTCTGGCTGCATCACCCAGGATTCCGGTGGCAATTTATAGGGCCCAGGTCTCCAGCTGCTATTGTGATAGAAGTGGCAGCGGGGAGCCCTGGGCCCTTTTAAATTGCTGTGCCCCAAGGCAGCTGTGCTTTCTCCCACTCCATTGGCAGCTCTGTTTCTCCCCCTTCCTCCCAGAGCCTCCTGACCACCACAGTCAGCTGTTCCACAGTGTGCAGGAGGCACTGGGAGGGCTGGAGAGCAGTGGGATTGAAGCACACTGGGGGGAGGGAGTGGAAAGAGAGAGAGGGTAGCATGAGGCAATAGGGAAGGTATGAAGTGGAGGTGGGAAGAGGTTGGGCAGGGTGGGAGTGTAAGAGTGGGCTGGTGGAGAGGCCTGGGGCTGAGCAGTGGTTGAGTACCATATGGGACAATTGGAAGCTAGCGCCTTGCTCCCAGCTGTACTGCATGAGTTCTGTAGCCAGACACCCATAAATTACTCTGCAGAACAACACCAGGAAGCTCCCAGGCCCAGATTTTTCCCCAGAAATATGTACCTTTTCCTGCCCAGCAACCTCCTGAAAAATACAAGTTCATATAAAGCCTATCATTTATCTACAGCGGAAAATTATATGCCAAATCTTATTTCAATGGAATTTCCCAAACACATCAGTCCAAACACATTGGTGTATCTAAACCAACAAAATACATTAATTAACTACAAATATAGACTTAAGTGACTGCTAGTAATGAGGTATATATATCAGAATTAGTTACAAGGAAATGAAAAGGAAAAATTCAATTAAAATCCAACTTAAGTGAATCCAAAGCAAAGGGGTGTCTCTCATTATTTGCTCCAGCACTCTTTGGGTGCAACTACACTGTAACTCAAAATAAGATACGCAATTTGAACTACGCAAATTGTGTATCTTATTTTGATGCTATTTTGAAATAGCTGATTTCATCATAGACGGCACCAAATTTCAAAATAAAGTGCTAGTCCAAAGCATCGCTTATTCCTCGTAGAATGAGGTTTACAAAGACATCAGCATAGCGAGCCTGAAATAACAGCCTTTCTGTGAAGACATGGGATAGCTATTTCAGGATACTCCAGTATCCCAAAATAGCATTGCAGTGTACACATAGCTTCACTGATTGAATCTCTTTCAGTCAGGATCTCCACCCCCCCCCCCAATGCTCAGACCCATGTCTTGGTAATATTATATAGTGAATCTCATAACACTGTATGTAAAGATACCATACATGCTTTACCAGAACAATGATTAGCAAATCTTTATCTTACATAGTATGCTTTGTACAAAATTTAACATAGTCTTGTAAAATGGGTGACCTCTGGGTATAGACCAGAGGGGGGGGGGGTAAACTGTAGCTTATGAACCACATGTGATTCTTTTATCATTAAAGTGCAGGTTGTGGAGCCCCACACACCTCACCTAGAAATCCTGCCTCATGCAATACGCAACTTCAAATTCAATTATTCCTGTTAACCCACAGTTAGTGCAGTGTATATATGGTGAAAATATATATTTATTGTTTAGGGAATTTATTGTTAACATTTCTGTTGTAGGTGTGAAAGGAACCCTAGGAGACAAAGGAGAAATAGGTGATCCTGGTATTATTGGCATTGAAGGCTTGAAGGGCTCCCAAGGTTTTCCTGGCTTAAAAGGGGAACAAGGTGAAATACTCCTTACATTCTTTCTTAATTAAGTAGCAATCCTAAGGTTAGGAGTTGAGTTGGTTTGAAAGATATAGGGGGAAAAATTCAAAGTTTTAGTCAAAGGTTTTCATTGAAATTTAAAATTTTTGAAAAATTATGACCACACAGTAAGCTGGTTTAAAAAAAAACCTGTTTTTTCTAATGTGAAAATTTTCAAAAGAAAAAATTACCAAAATTATCATATTCACTTTCTCAGGTCTAATTAATTAATTCATCTAATTACAATGATGATGTGACTGTTTATGGTAATACAGGCACAGAGCAGTGTTCAGTGTACAAAAAAGGATTAGAGTATTTAGAGGATATCACAGCAGTAACCTTCCAATACTTCCCCTTCTGTCTAATTTAAATGAGATAGCAAAAAACTCCAAAGGATCTAAAGCCATGGGCTGTGTCTAGACTGGCCAGTTTTTCTGGCAAATCAGCCGCTTTTCCGGAAAAACTTGCCAGCTGTCTACACTGGCCGCTTGAATTTCCGCAAAAGCACTGACGATTTCATGTAAGATTGTCAGTGTTCTTGCGGAAATACTATGCTGCTCTCGTTCAAGCAAAAGTCCTTTTGCGCAAAACTTTTGCGCAAAAGGGCCAGTGTAGACAGCTCAGATTTGTTTTCCGCAAAAAAGCCCTGATCGCAAAAATGGCGATCGGGGCTTTTTTGCGGAAAAACGCGTCTAGATTGGCACGGATGCTTTTCCTCAAAAAGTGCTTTTGCGGAAAAGCGTCCGTGGCAATCTAAACACTCTGTTCCGAAAATGCTTTTAACGGAAAAGTTTTCTGTTAAAAGCATTTCCAGAAAATCATGCCAGTCTAGACATAGCCATGATGTTTTGAAGCAGATCTTTTGGCTGACTGTACAAGGCAGATAGCAGTCAGACACTGGTCTGGATCCAAATTGGTTACTTGAGAAATCTGTTCCCATTTTTTTTTTCATGCTCATCCAGTGTTTCGAAAACACTTGTGTCATATATATTATTATATTGCCTTAAAGCCCCAACTGAGATGGGGCCCCCCACCATGCCAAGTACTGTACAAATATGCAATGAGGGACAGTCCCTGGTTCAAAGAGCTTATAGTATGAACAGACCAGACATGGTGAAAGGAGAAGCTCATTTTTGGATGACAGTGCGGAAAGGGATGTGTGTTTCTTCCCCTAATAGGATATTTTAGACTTGCTCTTTATTTAATAATTTTGTAATAGAGGACTTAGTTTACTTGTCCATAATGCTGCCCATGTATTACGGTGTACAATAGGATCACTTTTATGGACACTCAGACTTAATAATCTGTTTTTCCTATAGGCTTCCCAGGGCTGGTTGGATCACCAGGATCACAGGGAGAGCCAGGTATTCCTGGATTTCAAGGTGTAAAAGGAAGTCACGGATGGCCTGGCTTTGCAGGACAAGAAGGTTGTAAAACTATTTTCATTCATTTTACTCTTAAATATTTCATTACTCTGCTTTTTGGGGTGAGGAAGAAAGAGAATCAGTGGCATTGCGTTGCTTCCCAATAAATGTTTGTTTCCCACAAAGCTCTGATGCATAAATGTAGACATGCATGATTTGACTTTTCTTATAAGATCCTTGCATTCTTACATTGACTGTAAGGGCACTTTTTGATAGGTCAAGTACCTAGTTTATAGGAACTTTTTAAATTTCTCATGATGGTTGCAAAACAAATTAATTTTCAGCAGTGTGACCAACTCTTTTTTACATAGAGCAGAGAGTTCTATCATTTCATACAATGCAATAGATTGTGTATAATTTATTTTACATAGACATCAGACACAGTAAAGTTCGCTAATACTGAAGGCATGGTTTGGAAAGTAAATGGCATACCACGCTGGCAGATTTGTTGTCAATGTGTAAGTAATATTTTTGAATAAAATAGTGAACTTTCTCAAACACCAGATCAAGGATTGCCCCATTGCCACTTAATAAGTGAAACCACATAAGTTTTCATCTCCAGGCCTGGAGCAGAAATGCCCCATTTTGAACAGCAACAAGCCTGAGGCTTTTTTCGGCTTGTTTTTTAAAATTACACACAGTGATTTTTTTTCTCAAGAGATCCTTATTACAGAACTTGAAGGATATGTTGTCACCTTGCTGTTATCCTGCTTTAGGGATTACAAAAAGGGATAATGAATGATGAATCCTATCAAAGATAGGATAGTAAGAAGGTAATTAATGGCAGGTTTGTTTTCTTGTTTGTGTTGGTTCTTGGTGTAACTTTTACCAGTCAGACTGGAGCTGCTTCTTAGAAATAAGGCTATGATTTTACTGGAGAATAGAAAAATAGATTTGCCAACCAAGGAAAATACACCATTGTGTAGGTTTTTAATAAGCATGTACACTCGTGTACAAATTCAGATCATAATACATTTGAACGTCTTTAATCCTGCAACCCTGGGAAACAGGGTATGCTGGATTAAAGAATTTTCCAAACCAGAGAGGGCTTCTGCCACTATGGGAGCAGCAGGAGAAAGCCTCAGGAGAAGTGCATCATTGCACTGCCATTTCCCCAGCTGGGGGTGGAGGAAAGCAGCAAGCACAGAGCTTCTTCCTCCTCCCCCTCCCAGTGTCTGTACCACATGTGTTCCTGGATCAGGGAGACCCAGAGAATGGAGGTTCGGGTGTATACAGGCAGTCCCCGAGTTACGCGGATCCGACTTATGTCGGATCCGCACTTACGAATGGGGCTTTCTCGCCCCGGAGCTCGCAGGCAGCGGGACCGCCCAGAGCGCAGCAGTCCCGCCACCTCGACCTCCGGGGCGAGAAAAGCTGCTCCGGGTGCCCCTGGTCTGCTGGGGTCTGTCTCCAGCAGACCAGGGACACCCGGAGCAAAGCCGGGGAGGCGGAGGGGTCCCGCGCCTCTGAGGCTTTGCTGTGGCAAAGCCGGGGAGGCGCGGGACTCCGCCTCCGCCGCC